TCTCTCTAGGAAGACCGAGCACACAGACACCGGTCACACAATACACCGATCTCTCTAGGAAGACCGAGCACACAGACACCGGTCACACTCTAGGAAGACCGAGCACACAATGCACCGAATCTCTCTAGGAAGACCGAGCACACAGACACCAGTCACACAATACACCGATCTCTCTAGGAAGACCGAGCACACAGACACCGGTCACACAATACACCGATCTCTCTAGGAAGACTGAGCACACAGACACCGGTCACACAATACACCGATCTCTCTAGGAAGACCGAGCACACAGACACCGGTCACACAATACACCGATCTCTCTAGGAAGACCGAGCACACAGACACCGGTCACACAATACACCGATCTCTCTAGGAAGACCGAGCACACAGACACCGGTCACACAATACACCGATCTCTCTAGGAAGACCGAGCACACAGACACCGGTCACACAATACACCGATCTCTCTAGGAAGACCGAGCACACAGACACCGGTCACACAATACACCGATCTCTCTAGGAAGACCGAGCACACAGACACCGGTCACACAATACACCGATCTCTCTAGGAAGACCGAGCACACAGACACCGGTCACACAATACACCGATCTCTCTAGGAAGACCGAGCACACAGACACCGGTCACACAATACACCGATCTCTCTAGGAAGACCGAGCACACAGACACCGGTCACACAATACACCGATCTCTCTAGGAAGACCGAGCACACAGACACCGGTCACACAATACACCGTCTCTCTAGGAAGACCGAGCACACAGACACTGGTCACACAATACACCGATCTCTCTAGGAAGACCGAGCACACACAGACACCTGTCACACAATTCACTGATCTCTCTAGGAAGACCGACACCGCACACAATACAGATCTCACCCGAGCACACAGACACCGGTCACACAATACACCGATCTCTCTAGGAAGACCGAGCACACAGACACCGGTCACACAATACACCGATCCCTCTAGGAAGACCGAATACACACAGACACTGGTAACGCAATGACTAAATCTCTCTCTAGCAGTATGAATTGGTACCGGAAGCCACTTAATACATTTTTTTATTGTGATTTCCCTAGATGGGCAGTGCATAAATATGTAGAAATGAAAGAATTAAAAAAGACAAAACATACAGAACATTTTCTGTAAAATAAGAGGAGAAATACTCCGTTAAATTCAGTTTTGGGCAGTAATATTTTGTCCTGTTGAGAAGAGAGATAACGGGAAATCCGTAAATGCCGAGTCCTTGAGGTGTCACAATACCGGCTAGGAGAGAAGAAAATCCTTGTTCTGCGGCCATAGATTATATGGATCAGCCAATTGTGATGACTGGGTCTGTAGGCAGGTGATTACTGCATGTCACTATCCTGTTGTGTTTTACCTTTGTTAATTATTTTGGTGTAATGTCACTTTAAATAATCTGGTTTACTGCTGAAGGTGTTGAGTCAAATGTGACTTCCTCCTCTGCAGATGTGTCATATCCTGTGTCTTGGGGTAAAAATACATCTGCAGAAGATCGCCCACCAGGTCAGAGTCCTATGGAAGTAGAGCTGTGAGGTCCTACTGCTACAATGTTATTTCTGCTCTGTTTACTACAAGCTTTTAACTTACATAGTTGGAGGGTCCTGTTGTAATAGCAACTTTGGGAATTCCAGGAAAACTCTGGACACGAACTTGAGGAAAACAAGCTTTTTATTTACCAGCTGGGACTTAGCCAGACTCGTGTCTGCAAGCTAAGTGCCTTGAAAAACATCTTACATGGTGTATATATCAACAGTTATGTCACAATGCATATATTTCCTCTTTACTTTTTGTACTTTTAAAATACATTCTGAGCATCAGGATATAGCCTTTGCGGTTTCAAATTTAGATAAAATATCACACACTGAAAGTTAGGGTGTCAGCTGCTAGACTGAAACACATTGTTCCACAGGAAATGAGGGGGAGGAAATGAGCTGATGACCTGGTTCTGCAAACAGATGCTTTTAGAAATGTTAAAGCTTAAAGGGGAACTCTGCAATATTTGGGTGCTGCCACACTGTGTTGGTAAATTATACCTCAGTCTGAAGTGGGGCTTTAATATAATGGAGACCTGAAGGATGAGGTGAGGAGGATTCAGGGAATATAGTTTAATTTTACTCTTTGTGTTCAGATGTAGAGTTTTCCTCCTGTGAAGTCTGGAGATCACATGACATCACATTGCCTCCACCTCCCTCCCTGATAGAAGAGAAAGAAGAAGATTCTAGAAGTCACCAGAGATCACTGAGCTGCTGACAGAAGAGGTGAGCAGTGCTGGGAATTCTGGGACATTCTCCAGTAACAGACAAGGGATGTGTCTGTTCAATTGATACAGTCCAGATAATTCTCCACTATCTGTCTACAGAGAAACCTGCATAGATCACATGACCACATCAATGAGGATGGAGGCGGACCGGAGTCACATGACTGAGAGGATACTAAACCTCACCCTGGAGATCATCTACCTGCTGACCGGAGAGGTGAGGAGGATTCTGGGAGGTCACATGACGTCACTCTTATCTCTAGTAATAAACCACAGACCTGACCGGAGAGGTGAGGAGGATTCTGGGAGTCTAACATGATATTCCTATTGCTTCTCCAATACAGAGATTTCCTCTTCTGAAGTCAGGTGATTCTATGACCATCACAGTGCCTCCATGTGACTCCCTAAAACCCGAGAGACACAACATGCAGAAGATTCTAGAAGTCACCAAGAAGATGATGGAGCTGCTGACAGGAGAGGTGAGCGGTGCCGGGAATTCTGGGACATTCTCCAGTAACAGACAAGGGATGTGTCTGGATGGTGACTGTATCATTGTGTGTGTCAGGTTCCTATAAGGTGTCAGGGTGTCACTGTCTATTTCTCCATGGAGGAGTGGGAGTATTTAGAAGGACACAAGGATCTCTACAAGGACGTCATGATGGACAATCAGCCGCCCCTCACATCACCGGGTAAGAGGAGACTTTATTGTAAAGGAGAGAGCAGTACGGAGGATCCACCTAGATCCCCCATCATCTGATAAACACATAGAAACAATGGATTCAGTCAGTGTGTGTGTTTCCTACAGATGGATCCAGTCATGGGAACCCACCAGAGAGATGTCCCCATCCTCTGTATTCCTGGGATTCCACACAGGAAGGTCACACCATCCCTCACCATCATCAGGTTGATGGATCCAGTAATAGGAACTCACCAGAGAGATGTCCCCATCCTCTGTATTCCCGGGATTTCACACAGGAAGGTCACACCATCCCTTACCATCATCAGGTAGGTGGAGTTGAGGGTCTGGAACATAAAGTGATTGAACACTCTGACATGTGGAGATGATGATGTGTGGACTCTACAAGATGATATTTTCTATGTGATCTCACATCATAAATCCTTCTATATTACAGATGTTATTTCTGCCATTCTGTTGGTTTAGGGTGAAGATCTGATGAAGATGAAAGTTGAGGGTGAAGTAGAAGAGACGTATGTGAGGGATGATCAGCAATATACGGAGGAGGCTGGAATGATGAGGACATACAAAGAGGAGGACACTCCTACAGAGATCAGCACAGGTGAGCCACAATATATTCTTCCGTTATCTCTGCTCTGTTACTGCATACTGATTGGTCCAGAGTAAGGGCGGGAGATGAGTGATATCAGCCAATAAGCAGTTGATAATAGTCACTGATACCCATTCTGCATATTTCCTTTTTCTTTAAAGTGGAGCTCCACCCAAAAGGGGAATTTCTGCTTTAGGACCTTGTCTCTTTCTCCTCATTAAGGATTGGCATTTTTTGGGAGGTGGGGGGGTAGCGGGTACCCCATTTTTACAGGTACCCGCTCCCACTTACGCTGCGATCGCCTACGTGGTTGGAAGCATAACTTCTCTTCCCCCACGCAGTCTTCTGGGACACGTGACAGTTCCCAGAAGACTGTGGGACCATTCACAATGCGCAGGTCTGCTTGCGCACATGCGCAGTGGGCACCCGGCTGTGAAGCCGCAAGCTGTCACAGTGGGTTCCTACACTTAAGATGTTGGCATCGGAGACACAGGATGGCCGGTGAACCTGGCTGAGGTGACGACACCGCTGGATCAAAGTACAGGTAAGTGGCTATATTTTAAAATTGAGCAAGTTTTGGTAGCTGCCGACTTTTATTGCTTTTGTGGAGACTGAAGCTCCTCGTAAAGATAAACCTCCTTCTCTGTGCTGCAGCCACAATTTGTGTACTCCGACATGATGTTGTGATCAAAACTAAGGAGGAACATAAAAAACTGAAACTTGTCTTTTCAGTAGAAAATACTTCTCCAAACACCCTCCAGTGCTGCTCATCACCAGAAGCCTAGACCTATGGTCACGTGTTCTATGCTAAAGGTCCTACAGGTCTGAACGTTGAACCTCATCATTATCAGAGATCACATGACCCAGAGCCTAGCCTTGTGGTTGTGTGAAGAGCATGCCCCTCCCAGTCCCCATTGGTTCCTGCTCTTCTGACAAGGCTGGGGAAATGTAGAAGTGATCTGGGAGGAGGACCAAAGGACCTTTTACTGAAGAAGGGAAGTCACAGCTGGTTGGGACATTCATATAGAACATCTTCTCACTCATATCTGCCTTTTCTAGATGAAATCTTGGTGTAAGTGAACTAACCCTCTTGTATCTATTGATTGTGTTTTTATATTTTCCAGGACACGCCATCGAGCAACTCTCAAAGGATCATCTCACTTTATCTTCGGGTTGTAAAATGGAAGATGAGGACATCACAAGAGATTGTGCAGGAGAAAAGACAATGAGCTCAGCTATGGATGGTGGACTACACAGTGTGGATGGACCATCAAATCCTTCTGAATCTGACCAACCTCGTACTGTGAGGGATGGAGCCGGAATTCAGGGGAAGAAGAAATATTTTTGTCCTGAATGTATGAAAAGTTGTAGCTCTAAATTAAGTTTTACTGTACATCAGAGATCTCACACAGGTGAAAAGGTTCATTCCTGTTCTGAGTGCGGGAAATGTTTTTCAAAGAATTCAGAAATGGTTAAACATCAAAGATTTCACACAGGCGAGAAGCCTTATTCCTGCCCTGAGTGTGGAAAGTGTTTTTCAGACATATCCAGTCTGTACAGACACCAGAGAATTCACACGGGGGAAAAGCCGCATTCCTGTCCTGAGTGCGGGAAATGTTTTTTACAGAATTCAGACCTGGTTAAACATCAAAGATGTCACACGGGTGAGAAGCCTTATTCCTGCCCTGAGTGCGGGAAACATTTTGCAGAGAAGTCTGCTCTTAACAAACATCAGAAGATTCACACGGGGGAGAAGCCATTTTCCTGTATGCAATGTGGGAAATGTTTTTCTCAAAAGCAGATCTTTTAACACATCAAAGATCTCACACAGGCGAGAAGCCATATTCCTGCCGTGAGTGTGGGAAATGTTTTTCAGAGAGATCTAATCTTTACAGACATCAGAAGATTCACTCTGGGCAGAAACCACATTCCTGCCCTGACTGCGGGAAATGTTTTTTGGAGAGATCAAACCTTGTTGTACATCGAAGATCTCATAGACAGAAGAAGCTGTATTCTTGCTCTGAGTGCGGGAAATGTTTTTTACACTTGTCCAGTCTTTACAATCATCAGAAATCTCACCTAGAGAAGAAGCTGTATTCCTGTCCTGAGTGCAGGAAATGTTTTACGCAGACATCAGACCTTGTTAGACATCAGAGATCCCACACAGGAGAGAAGCCATATTCCTGCACTGAGTGCGGGAAATGTTTTTCAGAGAAGTCCAGTCTTTGCAGACATCAGATGATTCACACAAGGGAGAAGCCATATTCCTGTCCTGAGTGTGGGAAATGTTTTTCATCACAGACATCAGACCTTGTTAGACATCAAAGATCTCACGTTGTAGAAGCCGTAAACCTGCCCTGAGTGTAGTAAATATGTTTCACAAAAGTCCATTGTTGCTGTATGTCAGATGTGCCATATACAGGAATAGCTGTGTTGTGATAGATGTCATGTATGGAAATCAGCGCTTGTCACACATCAGAGATCTTGCGGAGTGAAGAAGCCATATTCCTGTCTTAAGTGTGGGAACTGTTAGCAACAGAAATAAGAACTTGTCTCAGAGACCTCTTACAGGGGAATAGCTGTATTCCTGCAGAAAATATTATACATGGAAATCAGACTTTGTTATACATCAAGGGGAGAAGCCATATTTCTGTTCTGAGTGTAGAAAAGGTTTTCCTGATAAATCCATGGTATAATATATGGGTTGACTCTGTCCTCTGATGAACCCCTCCAAGACAGAATAAATACGTCTGAGTCCCTCCCTTCAGGGAGTGTTCCTTTTCTGTTTCTAGGATGAGGTGATATGTCATGGGTAGGGTTTAGCTGCCAGTCTGAATTTTGCATGTTTGGAGGACCGGCAAATTGTAGAACTACACTCACCAACCACTTTAGGTCCACCTGTTCAATTGCTTGGTAACACAAATTGCTAATCAGCCAATCACACGGCAGCAACTCAGTGCATTTAGGCATCTAGACGTGGTGAAGACGACTTGCTGAAGTTCAAACCAACCATAAGATTGGGGAAGAAAGGGGAATTAAGTGAGTTTGAATGTGCATGGTTGTTGGTGCCAGACTGGCTGGTCTGAGTATTTCAAAAACTGCTGATCTACTGGGATTTGCATACACAACCATCTCTAGGGTTTACAGAGAATGGTCCAAAGAAGAGAAAATATCCAGTTTTATGGACAAAAATGCATTGTTGAGGTCAGAGGAGAATGGGCAGACTGGTTGCTGCGACATTCATATGCTGAAAGGTCTGAGGGATAAATCTTAACAAGAGCGACTTCAAGAGCTTAACATCTGTGCACAGCACATACAGATGGTGTCTACATTTAAGTATTTGAGGGTGATAGTCTCTCCTGCTCCAGTACATTTCTTTCAATCTTTTACCTCTACTCCATCATCAGAAATTGAAGTGTAACAGTTGGTGCAAACTCCCTCTGTCGGTGGTGGGTAGGGTTAATCTAATTAAAATGATTTTGGCCCCGCAACTTCTTGATATTTTCCATAATTCTCCCATATGGATTCCTAAGAAATGGTTTCATCATATAGAGACCCAGTTTAGGACTCTCATTTGAAAAAATAGATGGCTAGGATAAAATTGTTCACGTTGCAATATGGCAAGGAGTCGGGGGGGCTGGTGGCTCCGGAGCCTACACTATATTTCCTGGCGGCCCAATTGCAGTAACTGGTTGGTTGGGATTCATCTGATGATACTGATCCCATGATCAAGTTGATTTCCCTTCCTGATTCCACCATTTCGGCTCTCTCTCATCTTGAGATGGCTCTACCGGTCCTTCCATCCATGGCTCCAACTGCGGACCTCTTGAGGAGCGTCTGGTGTGCGGTAAAAGCATCCTTTCAAATTACTGGGTTTCTCTCCTGTACCCCATTGAGGAATAATTTGCAATATATAAACTGGAGGGTTTTCAGGACTGGAGGGTTTGAGGCCTGAAATTCAAATCTCAGCTGTACTCGGGGGCAGGGGCGGACTGACAACTCATGGGGCCCCCGGGCAATAGGGGATCATGGGGCCCCTGTGTCATTGCCCAAACTCAAAAAAGCCTATGAAAAAGGTACCAGGGTCATTTCATGGGGCCCCCTACTGACCCCGGGCCCTCGGGCAGTGCCCGAGTTTCCAAATGGTCAGTCCGTCCCTGCTCGGGAGTGACCGTAAAGTCCTTTTCACAACTGCAAATGGACTTTACATTTACACATAAGCAATTTTACTGCTATCTTCAGCTACGCCATGCGGTACAGACCCAGTCTTCGCTCTCTAATCTCACATTGACAGACTCGACTTTTCTTAAGGATGTAACTCAGGCAACCCATAAGAAGGGCATGATCTCTCGTGTTTACTCTCGGTTATTGTCCATGGTGCAGGATCATGCTAGTCTTTGGGATAGGGTGCAGTGGTCAAGGCATATTGGAGAGTTTGCTGGAGATGTCTGGGATGCTGCCCTGGAATCTGTTTCAGTGATTTCTCTTTCTCCTTCTCATAAATTATCTCAATTGTTTATTCTCCATCGGGCGTATAGGACCCTTGTGCAACTGTACCGGTGGGGCAGGCAAGTTTCATTCACATGCTCTGGTGCTGCCCAATGCTACATACAGTGGGGCAAAAAAGTATTTAGTCAGCCACCAATTGTGCAAGTTCTCCCTCTTAAAAGGATGAGAGAGGCCTGTAATTGGCATCATAGGTAGACCTCAACTATGAGAGACAAAATGAGAAAAAAAATCCAGACAATCACATTGACTGATTTGGAAAGAATTTATCTGCAAATTATGGTGGAAAATAAGTATTTGGTCAATATCAAAAGTTCATGTCAATACTTTGTTATATATCCTTTGTTGGCAATGACAGAGGTCAAACGTTTCCTGTAAGTCTTCACAAGGTTGGCACACACTGTTGCTGGTATGTTGGCCCATCCTCCATGCAGATCTCCTCTAGAGCAGTGATGTTTTGGGGCTGTCGCTGGGCAACACGGACTTTCAACTACCTCCAAAGGTTTTCTATGGGGTTGAGCTCTGGAGACTGGCTAGGCCACTCCAGGACCTTGAAATGCTTCTTACGAAGCCACTCCTTCGTTGCCCGGGCGGTATATTTGAGATCATTCTCGTGTTGGAAGACCCAGCCACGTTTCATCTTCAATGCCCTTGCTGATGGAAGGAGGTTTGCACTCAAAATTTCACGATACATGGCCCCATTCATTCTGTCCTATACATGGATCAGTCATCCTGGTCCCTTTGCTGAGAAACAGCCCCAAAGCATGATGTTGCCAACCCCATGCTTCACAGTAGGTATGGTGTTCTTTGGATGCAACTCAGCATTCTCTCTCCTCCAAACACGATGAGTTGTGTTTCTACCAAACAGTTCTATTTTGGTTTCATCTGACCATATGACATTCTCCCAGTCCTCTTCTGGATCATCCAAATGGCCAAGGTAGCAAGGATTTAATTTCATGTTTCTTTTTGGTTTGATGTTTTCTTGTAAATAGTGTAAATAAACCGCACCTTTTTGTTTTTCGCCTACACTCCTGTTTTGCTGTTACTGTTTTTTTGTGTTGTGAACTCACCCAGGGACACACACACACCCGCTGCCGAGCAAACCCTGTTACATATGGTGGAGGACCACGGGCAGTTTGTGGTAAATAAAGGAGAGCATGGTATAGATAATAAGATAGTTGTCTGTGCCGAATGCTAATCAACAACAGACTAATGCAAGTCTCCAGCAGAGCATTGCAGCCCATCAGCAAGACCTGGAACAAGCGGAGTCCCACCATAGGGAATTGGTGGTGCAGCAGGACCAGAGGCACCAGAAAAAAAATTAAGGCCGTCATGAAGCAGAGACAGCAGACTGAGGCTGGGAGTGAGTAGTACACCATCACTTTGTGTGGGCCGTTTATTGCCAAAAATGACTGGAGAGGATGATCCGGAGGTGTTTTTAACCACATTTGAATGGACTGCTGAAAGGGAAAAGTGGCCTAAGGAGCAGTGGGCTGGACTGATGGCCCCATTATTAGCTGGGGAGTCACAGAAAGCTTATTATGACCTAGAGCCTGACCAAGCAAAAGACTATGATGTGCTAAAAGCAGAAATATTGGCACGATTGGGTATTACTCTCACTGTCCGGGCTCAGCGTGTGCATAATTGGACTTTTCGGCTTGGGAAACCCCCCAGGTCGCAGATGTATGATCTCATTCATCTGAGCAGGAAATGGCTGCAGCCAGAGACTTTGACCACTCCAAAAATTGTGGAACGTGTCGTTATAGATCGGTTCCTGAGATCTATTCCTAGGGCCATTCAAAGGTGGGTCAGCCATGGAGACCCAGAGACAGCAGACAAGCTTGTGGATCTAGTTGAGAGTTACTTGGCTACAGAGAACCTGACCTCCTCTTCCAGAGACTCACGGACTTTCCACCCTAAGACCAGACCATCCCCAGCAGCCGGAAAGATGATACTAAGGGGTGAGGGTGGAGAGGGTGGGAGTTTTTCCCATTGTCTGGCAAGAGCAGCCGGGAAGGTCAAGGCCACAAGAGGCGGCAAAAAAGATTATTTGCTACCGCTACCAGTGAGAGTGTTGCAGCCAATTGCCCAGTGGTGGATGTGCCAATGCAATGTGACTTTCTAAGGGACAGATGTCAGTCGCTGTTTGTGACAGTCGCATGCACTGCCAGCCGGGGCATCGAGAAACATTTATGTAAAATGTCTATTAATGGAAGTAATGTTGAGTTGCTGGATTCAGCTAGTCTGGTAACCTTGATAAAAGAGGAATTAGTCACTACAGAGGTCTCTGGGTATAAAAAGGTGGCTGATATTTGTGTGCATGGGGACACCTGACAGTATCCAGTGGCAACCACGTCTTTTGAGACCCCCAAAGGTAACCTGTATCATCAGGAAGGGTTGGTGCCTCACTTACCACATGATGCCATTGTGGGGAGGGATTTTCAAAAATTCTGGGATCGTCCTGACCCCCCCACTGTCTCCCCTTCAGACCAGGAAGGTGAATCCCAGAAATCCTCTGAGTGTGGTGAGGACTCTCCTGAGTTCCCTTTGCTGGTACTAGCAGGGGAGACTCAAGGAACTAGGGAGGACCCCACCTCTTCAGACAAAAACCTGCTGGCTGTTGAGTTTTTTGGACTTAGAGGTTCATAGGGAAAATTTTGCCACCGAACAGTTGAAAGACCCCACACTGATAAAAGCATGGGAAAATGTGGTAAAAATAGATGGCGAACTAGTAAATCCCAGATAAGCCTTGAGCTTATCCGTACTCACTTGTAGAAAGGGACCTACTATATCGAGTCGCTCAAGGGGTGGAAAAACCATTGAGCAACTGGTGGTGCCCAGACCTTACAGGAAGT